TATATCTACCTAATTATTCAGAAAATCTTAAATAAATAAGAAATAGCAAAAAACTTGGGAGCATTACATATATTACCACAGGTAAAAGAATATATATATTATGACATAGTTCCAAGAGGAAGATATTTATCGCAAATTGTTACTTTTGGATCCTACTGAAATTGTGTTTCTGGGCAACACACAAAGTGATATCAACAAAATTAATAATGGGTAAATATAGTGATTATACTTTACTTCTAAAATGCTAAAACGGATAGTTTAAGAAGATTAGAATTCATCTAGCATAATTTTGTATAAACCTTATTACCCTTCAGTACTTGCACTCACACATCCAAGCTGAATTGTAAACGAATTATAGCCCAGAATGTTTTTTTATAGAAAGCAAGAAATTTAAATATCCCCAATAAAACAGATCTACATATCTTTTTCATATTTTTTTTATTTTTATATTTTATCATATATTTATTGCATCCTCATGTAGGGATGCTTGTAGAAAAATGAATATAAGCTCACATAATTATAGAAGTAAAACACTTCATAAGATGCGTATGCATTGAAAAATGCCATGGTTTGGCTATCGCTTAATCTCGGATCATAGAACTCACTGCCACGACGTCCCTGCGAACGCTGCTCGGAGTAACTGCCCGGAGAGATTTTTCAACAGGTTCAAAGTAGAAACGGAAGCGCTGACTCATCTCCCCTACGTTTGTACTCCGTCGAAGTGAGCGTTTACATTGTCAAAGTAATCGTAAGGAGCGACTCGCTCCGAGCCGCTCTGACAGGTGTAAACTGACCTTAAGAGAACGATTTCCACCGCGAATTAAGTTAGTAATTTCGCAAACGTTGTAGGGATAAACGACATAATTCCCCCTGATGGATAATGCAGTATAAACATACAACATGTTATTCCTTCTTTTTGCAAAAGTCCCGCGAGCCCAATATTTTTGCCCATTATATCTCTAGCACCATCGGTTACAATAGCAGTGCACTTGTCAAATCCGTCATACTGCTCTACTGAACATTTTATTGTTTGTAAATATCTTCACCTTTTGTAGTTCAGTGTAATGATTGTAATTTTAAAAGTTCTTCTGAATTATAGTTTTCATTTACAGTTCTTATAAAGATAAGCATTTGACTTGTATCGGAAATGTCTAGACTTTCATCCAATGCTACCGAAAAATAGCAACTATCGATTAGGTTTTCTAATTTATTAGTGACATGCATGCTAATCTCGTTTATATTACAGTCTGGTGAGAAAATGATACTGTTTGAAATTTTCTTACCATTTCGTTGGTATCATTAAATGCTTGAGCCATTTTTATGGCCCATTTTTTAATGAATCCTCCATCCAAAAATGGCTTCTTTGCATTTACTACTCGTATTTCTAAACAAACTTCAAATGATGCAGCTACAGATGCTTTTGAAATTTTGGTTCTTGATTAAAGTAAATCGTTTGATGATCCAGCTGCTTTTTCATTTTTTTCACTAGTGGTATTTTCATGTCTTGCGTGTATGAATGATACAATTTTCATGCATGGAAAGATAATGGTGCTCCAAGTTATATTCTTTACACACAGCTATGATTTATAAACATTCCAAACACTGTGGTTTACCATTCTTGTTCAGAATAAATAATCTTGTCTCCCAGCGATCTTGAAATTCTCGATTTTCGAGGTCCATTTTTCTTTTATTAGTAGCACTCCTATTCAATAATTATTTTGATTAATAAATAAATATGAAACTAAGTTAATAATTATTGTATTATAACACCGTCACCCCTCAACAAATTCTAGACAAGACTGCACTCGCACGATTGCATGAATCAACCAAATAGCACAGGGTAGTGTGCGCATCACATGCGCCAACCATAGATAAACAACAACCAACCAGAAATATAATATGTGGTGCCAACGTCGAGCCAACCATCATTAGACATTAAACGGATTGCTGCTGTATTCAGCCAGGTTAAGTGAAGTTACGCAAACTAAATAGTACCTACTTTAATTCAAATTAGATTTAAATTTTCACATAGTAAAATAATTTTAATATTAATAATAAATAATTTAGTTACATAAATTTATTCATAGTAAAATGTACTCGCGGACCTCGTACGGCCTGCCAGTTGGACAGCCCTGCTGTAAATAGTGTATATTTCCTTCTGTCCTCACTTAGTACTGAACATTCAAATTGTATTTATCATCATCAATATTGCCGGCATATTGCTGCTTTTACGCAGTGTTTCCGGCTCATGACACATAGGCCGAAGGGCGCATGACGGTAGTAAGCAATGACGATTGAAAGGAGGCATCAGTAGTGCGAAGAGGGGGTGACAGCATGACGTCACAAGTCCAGAGAAACACGCAGACGAAGCCCAGGACCAGGAAAGGCGAAGACAGGGTGAGAATCAGACTTGCTTTGTTGTTCATGATAGGTACATGTCATAATAAAGTTACACAAATAAGATGATGCAATACAATTTATTAGAATAATAAAATACATGCAAATAAAATGAAAAAGAGTATATAAGTAAAATACGGCAAAATAAGTCTATATACATATTTACAGCGGTTGCACTCGTGATAAAGTTACGTAGGAAAGTTCGAGTCTCGAGTGGTTAAGGCTGCGAGTGGTCGAATACGTGTGTCCTCTGCAAAAATCTGGTAATCGAATACTTTGAAGTGTTTCATATATGAACATTTTTTTGCTTTTTCAAAGAATTTTCTATTAGCTTTATGAAGGAACTCTTCAACTCTGTCTATACGTAGGTCTCTATGTAAGGTCTCGTTCGAAACATAAAAGTGCGCATTAGTAATAATTCTGAGAAGTTTGTTTTGCATGACTTGGAGTTTTTTCATGTCACTTTGAGTGTAGGTCACCCAGGCAGGGGATGCGTAACAAAAAATTGGTCTGATAATTGTTGTATAGATGTGTCTTTTCCTTTTAAGATCAAGTCTAGAATTTTTACCTATAAGTGGGAGGAGATTTTTGATAGTATAGGAGGTCTTCCATTTAATATTGTGAATATGGTCTTTCCAGGTAAATCTGCGATTCAAAACTACCCCAAGATAAGTAGCCTTTTTAACAAGTGGTACTTCTTCATTAAAGATATTAATTTTTCTGTCTAAAGGGATTCTGGAATGTTTTTTACCGATGATTATCAACTGGGATTTTTGTCCGTTAATCGCAATTCTCCATTTAGCGCACCATTCCTCTATGGCTGGAATTTTTTCTTGAAGTTTTATCAGTGCATGCTCTTGACTATGTGACTTCACGGCAAGGGCGGTGTCATCAGCATAACATCCGAGGTAAGTACTGAGGTCGGCACTATTGGGTAAATCATAAACAAAAAGAGATACAAATGGGCCGAGAATAGATCCTTGAGCTACCCCGGCTTTCAGATATTTGGTCTCAGAGTGTTCATATCCAAAATTTACAAAGAATTTGCGGTTCCGTATGAAAGAGTTGATAAGTAAGATGAGGTCTCTACTGAAATCTAGTGTGATGAGCTTGAAAATGAGCCCCTCATGCCAGACGCGGTCGAAGCTTTTGCCACGTCTAGCATGAGTAAGGCGACACTTTGATGCCTGAATAAAGCAGATCCAATGAATTCACACAGACGAACAAGTTGTTTTGTCGTTGAGAGATTTTTACGGAAACCAAATTGTTCCATTGGGAGCTTATCCATATGCGGCTCAATTCTTTTATAGATGACCCGTTCGAAAATGTTACCTAGTCCTGGGAGTAGACTAATCAGAAGGTATCCCTCCAATTTGGTGGCATCTTTTCCCGGCTTTGGTAGAAGAATGACTTTGGCCTTTTCCCATTTTTCGGGAAATTGTATTTACTTTGTGCCATCTTGTAAGTATCAGCATTAGTTTTTGTACACCATCACGTGACCTCCGAGGACCAATGGAGATGAATTCCTGGCCCAAGCTTCAGATTGGCTTCCTTAGCCATTTGGTTGCCTTGAAACTCAAGTACTCAGGACCACGCTCCAGCCAATGACCTTGCCTCCTCATTATACCTCACTGGATTGAACCCTAAAAATCATGTGAGCACTGTGTTCTTTCTGGATGCTTCACGGACTTCTTTGCATCCAGGATTCCCGAGTTTTACCACAACGGCATTGCATAGTTAGCCACTCATTGGCAAAAGGCACTGGATGCCGATGGTGATTACTTTGAGGATTAGCGGTGATTATTATTTGTTTTATGACTTTCTTCCTGACTATCCAAAATGGCAAGAACTTTTTTGGTTACCTTGTACATCCAACCTGAAATCGGATACATTAAAAGCAGCAGAATTTTGATGTGTACTGAATAAGAAAGTCACACTTCTATTTGGAATTTTTCATCCATAATGATGAGAAGTTTGATTTGTAGTTATTTGAGAATGAAAATTTATTGCTAAAAGTTCCTCCAATTGAGAAGCATTAAATAACATCTCACAGCATCTTGTATATCCAAATTATACAACAAACATTTCACCTTATGCAATTAGATATTACATATTTAGCAAATCTCATGTATGCATCTGCTTGTTGAATATTAAAGGAAAAGTAAAATGAAAGATTTTTTACTTTTTTAAACGTCAGAGAAAATGCTTCTTTAAATTTTGCAAAAGAATAAAAATATTAAAAAGATATATAATAATATACCTATCTGCATGAATTCACATTATTAAAAAATGCAATTATTATGAGAGATTTCCCTATAGTAAGAAAAGTATCTCATAAACTTTTACATTTGCATTACAGTATATATAATTCTGGAGTCATAATTTTTGCTAAAATTTAAACATATTCAAAATACCAATAGACCTGAAAACCAAACTGCAACAGAAGATCGATTTGGAACGTTAGCAAATAAAAAATGCATGGAGAGATAAATTTCTCTTTTTTTTCCAAAGTAATGTTTTTGTACTAAAGAATAAAATATTAGTAAAAAGTCTATAGTCAAAAGATGATGATGTCATAGAAAAAAGTGAAATAATAAACAAAATATGAGCTTGTCCTTTAATATTACCATGATGGCATAATATGAACATGGGGAGTAATGTGCTTGCTTGTAAAAGGAATATACTAAAAAGACTATATCACGAGGAAAAAAATGAAAAAGCACTTGTTTACAGAACAGAAAACGAATGGTTAAGTAAAACTTTTTTGTTAACAGAGAGTAAATTATTATTTGAAATTTAAATTACTACACACGATGCATCATAAAGTTGAAAATCAATCTCTCTTTGCATAATGTAATAGTGTAAATGTTTTTACATTATACATTCATCGATTGAAAATTTTCAATTTTAATGGAAAATAATTCTCAGGGATACTTTATACATTCTTTTATAAGTTGTATTGAAAAATTCTATAATTTTCCATTAACAGTGCATTCAAATTGCATAATGATAATTTATTACACAATTATAAACATATAATAATTCAAACATCAAATCATTAAATAACCTAAGAACAATCCTTCAGTTCATAACATTGCAGCACTATTTATTCATAAAATATGTAACATAATAAAGTCAACAAATTTTCAGCAGAGTTGAAAATTAATAATAATACCTAAATGACATCAATTTTTAAAACTTCAGTAGGGCATAAAAGCATGCAAGATCAATTAATAAAATTAAGCATTCTTATCAGTATCTTTATGTTTGGCAACAATTTTTTGGTAATACAAACAAATGTTTTAAAAGATGATTTATGATAATTAATCAACCATTAGTAGCAATGTAATTTCTGATAACAGTTTATATTAAAGTAACTGAAAATGAATTTAAAGAAAGTGCACATTCATAACCAAAACCATGACTAAACTATAAAAATCAACTTTTTAATTTAAAAATTTCAAATTATGCCCATTAATTATTAAAAAATTACACTTTAAATGAAAAATAGAATAAAATTTCGACAATTGTATATATTTTACAAACTGCAAATATAAAATTATTTCAATTTTTTCCTAATCTACAAACAAATATTCTGCATCCAAATTGGCTAAAATGTATATTAAGCAGCTTCTTATTACAATACTCTATTAATATAATATACCATTTCACAAATATCATCACAATAACACAAAAATATACACATATTTCTTTTAATAAAGTCAATCTCGTTTACATACATTCTAAATCTTTCCAACATACATTCATATATATGTATATTTATTTTATAGTCAAGTAAGAACTTAAACCAACTACAATTTACATTAAAGGTTTAGGATTTATATGAGATAAAATTATTTCAACAAATGTCATAACTAAGCAGCTTTAAAATATTATTTATTTTAGGATACACTCCTTAAACAAAAGTAGCAAAGTTCATAATATGAGAATAATATACAATAATTTCGGCAAAGGTTTAAAAAATAGTTTTGGCACGACCTTTCAGGTTTCAGTTTCTGAGCAACATCTAGATTTTTTGGGCCAAGTTCAGCATTTTAGTTACAAATTAAGACAGTCAATGAAATAATGAAGGGAAAAAATGCATTTTAGATGACAGAAAAAAGAATTTTTGCAAGAAGCTTTCACATAATTTTCATTCTAAATTGATTTCAAAGAATAAACTAATGAATATGGTTTGGTTTATCAGATTACGGCAAAGCACTCGAGGGCTATCTGCTTTAAGGGAGGCCTTCGTGGAGGACTTTACACGCTAATGAATATGAATGAAAATTTAATATTCTTGAGGATTAAGCTGCCTTCATTTAATGCTGATTTCATTTAAATAAAATGTAATATAATTAATAATATTAACACAGCGGAAAAGATTAGATTATGATCAGAAAGAACCTTTAAGGATGACATGATCAATATATAACATGCTAAAAAATAGGCGGGAGGGTTTCGTTTTTATTAATTAAAACACAATAAATATTTCACAACTATCGCTTTTACTTAATGAGGTGGTTACATAGGCTTATTTTTTTATTTATAATTCTACACATATATTTCCAATTCCAAAACTTCGTAAAACATGATGCAAAATTTTACAAAAATAATCGCAGCATGTTTGGTTAGGATTCTGTAAAAATAAAATCTAATTTTTAAATGAATCTTGTCGAATAAGCACTGCTTACTAAATTATGCTTTCATTAGTCTAAAACAAAGTTTCATACTTTTACATACAAAATTCACAGATATATGAGAATGAACTGTCGGCTTAGATAATTTTTCTATGTTTGTTGCTTATTAAAATTTAAATCATTTGAGAAAAAATTCAGAAGCAATATAAAAAAGAAGCTTCCCGCTTTGGTAATTAATGGTTTCCTTTTATATAAAACAGCATTTTTCATTAAATTTATAGCTAACTCCCCCACCCACAGTGTTCCAGACTTATTTTTGTATAATTCCACACATTATATGAAGGCACCTTTTAAATTATACACCTACGATTAACATTTAAGGTAATAAAGCCTAAATAATCTTTTTTGCACAGCCTGTGTATTATTCGTATATATAATGCATTAAAATGCAAAACTTAAATTACTAATTTTTACTTCATTACTAATTTTTAAAATATAAAAATCTTAAGCTCAAAACAAGGAAAAAGTCAACTTTGAGATTATAGCTATAATATGAATGGATGTAGGAGGTTCTAAATATAACTAATCAGCAAGTAAGAAATATCCAAATATTTGTTACAGTAGCTTAATAATTATAAGTCAAAATTTGTAATATTCTAAAAGATTTAAATTTACAGATGACAACATTTAAAGAAAATTCAAAATACAAAAATAAACAGTGGACAACTTTGATGAAAATGGATGTACAAGAACAATGGATGTAGTACTTTTTGATGGTACTAATATAATGTGGAGGGGGGAAGGGATTTTTTACATTAGTATATACAAAGGAAATTTTCCTCATCTGAAGGATATATACACTATAGTAATAAATCTTTATGATATTACACAAAGGTCTCGAGAATAACTCTGATCAGGAGCACATTTCAATAAGTGATTCATGACTGCTCGTGCAAGATAACTGGCTGTTATAGTGGTTGGTGAATCAAAAAACATTGTCATATCTTTTTCACGATCAAAGGCATTATCTTTCTGGAACATTATGAAAGCTTCTTCAACCAACTGTAAAAAGGAAATCAAATAATCATGACAAATGGTAAATTTAATTAACCAACAGAACTTTTAAATGAATGTATGACTGTATAACATTTTAAAAATGAATCCATAACATATGGTAAATTTTAAGTGGAGGAAGACTGAACTCATAGCACTGCAGAAAACTAAAATAAATAAAAGATATTATTAAATTTATTTGCTTTGTTGTAAAACTGTTAGATACATTATGTTTAATGCAATAGATATTTATACAGCTTAGAGAAGCACTTAATTTTCGTCACTGGTCTTCGGTTTTTTTCGTTTCACTTTGCTCATTTTCACCTGCAGATCGTTTAAAAAAACTGTCCAAGGAGGTTTGTTTCTTTCTCCCTTTCAGGATAATGCGGAAATGAGTTAGGCAAGTTTCGTTGAACAACTCCGATGCACGACCAGTTGCAACTTTTTCAGGGTGAATTTTATCCACAAAATCTACAACTTTATTCCACATTCCCAAGATCTCCTTTATAACTCTAGGGATAACCTCCTCCCTCTCTGGCTCCTCTTCAAAACTAATATTTCACGCTTTAATTCAACAGACATCATTTTCTTCTTCGGACCCATGGTTATAAAAATAAATGTGATAATGTTTTGTAAATGTACAAAAAGCAAAAAATGCAAACTTAACTTAGTCGTGTGCAGCGTTGTAGTGTGCAATTCCTCGTATCTCAAAGCAAAATATCGCTTGCTCGGCGGCTCATATCTCAAAACACTCATATATTAGGGCACTCATATATCGAGGTACCTTTGTATCATGAGTTCGTTAAACAAGGTCAAACAATAAAGGCACATATTACTTGAATGTTTAAGAGAAGCAGTGTGACAGAAGAGGGCAGAAATTTGGAGAAATAAGACCTGGATGCTTCATAAGACATCTGAACACTCTTCACTCCTTATCTGTAATATTTAAGCTATTTCAGTCGAACAAGAGGCAACTGGTCTACTCTTCAAAATTGGTTAATGAAGTATCCCCCCCCTCCCCAAAGTTGAAATATACTATAAAAGGCTCACGAATTTGACTTAATAAGATCTCAAAGAAAATTTACTATGGACTTAGAAACAAACCCTCCAAAGGATTTCCAGGAGGGAATCCAGCAAAGGAAGATATGTTTGGAGTGATGTGTAAAAAGAGAAGGGAATATTTTGAAGGAGATAAAGTCTCATAAAAAGTACTCTTATCAATTGATTTATTTTAAAAGTTCAGCCCCTTTTTGGGTAGAATCTTTACATTGCAGGATATTTATAATGCAATAATATGAAGGAAGCATTGAATAGGCTTGGAATTTGCATTGTAATGCATGTGCAAATCACGTGCACCACTAACATCATCTAGAAGCCCAATAAAAACGGCTGTTTTAAGCACTGGAACTGCATGTTTTCTCACTTTAGTGGGGGAAAGGGGGTGATGGGAAGCTTTAACCTCTCCAAGCCGGCTGGTACAGCAGTTGTACCAGGAGAATGACTTTCTCAGACGCCGGCATTGGTACAACTGTCGTACCATCCATGCCCTCCCCATTTTAGAGAATCGCCTATCTGTAGATCTTTGGGTGGTCCATTGTCACTGCTCAGAGTAGCCGCTGGCTACGCATTATTTCCATCTTCTTATCAGTTTGGCTACATTTTGGCAAAAACCGCAGGTTTCGTCTCGCGCCAATATACTTGAAAATTAAATAGATGCCACCTCTTTCTCAATCTGTCTCGTAATTTTAATGCTAATTTTTTTAGTACTGACTTTTGCTATGATTAAAACGTCAGCGATTTTGCACGCTCTTTAAGCTTACCATACTTAATGTTTTTTAATCATAACAAATAAGAATAGATTAATATTTTAGATTTAATGCCCTTCTAGAAATAGGTAAAACCGCTTTTATCGTTTACTTCCTTTTCATACGTATGAATAATAAGATTTTATTTGACATTTTTTGTGGAGTGCATAAAACCCTTAAGAACTGTTAACTCTTTCAAAGTGCTTCTATTATGCAGGCAATTTTGTCTGATTTATCAGGAGATAAATAAGAGACAATTGTATGCATAATAGTTTTTGTTATTTTCATTCATTCTGTGATTGCTTTCAATGATTTTTATTGATTCTAAATTAAATAAAATCAATTTATCTTTAGACCCTCTTTTAGGATAAGATCTGCCAAAAAGTATTTAAATATCAGTAAAGCTCCCGTTACTTCTAAATTGAATCAAAACATCAGTTACATTTTATAAAATTTCGGCCAGTTTTATTTGCTGAAATTCTTATACAGTCAAAAGTCGTTAATTCGGACACCCATAATCCGGAATGATCTATAATCCGGACCTCAAAGCTAAAAACTTTCTGCGCATGCGCCGCGTTAGCACATGCGCACAGGCGTTTTACGCGTGCGCGTAAGACCTTGACTACTGCGCATATGCGTGTGCGCAAGTGCAGAATACGTTTTCGCCTGCGCGTTTAATGTATAACGGACGGTGTAAGCTAAAATTATCTAATTATCTATTTCACTTACTGTTAATGATTGCGTTGTTTCTTAATCTTCGAATTGGATCCCGCTTATTATTTTTGCAGACTGTAAGAGCAATTTTATAAAAGTAACTTGAACTTTCGATTATGTCAAATAGAATTTCCGATGCTGGAACTTCCAAGGATCTACAAAACGAAAGTATGTTTCGATGTCCAACAAACAAAAAGTGGAATTGCTGCAAAAAATGGATAAAGACATGAAGAATGTGACAGAGAGGTTAGTGAAAACGAAAAAAATTCGATTGACAAGTTAGTCGGTATTCTCGGCACAGCAATTAACAGGACTTGAACAGCGGAACTTCAGCGGAAGGGAATTCAGACAAGTTGATAAAAAAATATCTTTAAAAAAGGTTGTTATTTTGTCTGTAATAAGGTGTATGTCAACTTACTATTAAATGTATGAAAATTAGGATTGGATTATGGAAAAGCACGCGAACGCTATCTACTTAAGGGGATGGATGCTTTCGTGTAAACCTTTTTAAGAGAAAATTGCTTGCATTTACGTTCCTGGTGGAAAACTCCACATGTAATCAACCCGTTCTTCGGTATTGATTGGATTAATTTTGTTTGCTTACTGAATTACATCAAAGCACACAACAATTACCTGTATGAGGGGAGTTATGCCTTCGCGGAGGACTTTCTAAGAGAAGCTGGCTTGCATTTACGTTACACAAAAACCGTGAATCCACCTATTTAGCCGGGATTCAAACCCAAGCGAGCTACAAGTGTTCAGCCATCTTTACCGCTCTGCTGAAGAGCCGTAAAAATATTGATAAAGGAAAAGTATTGAAATAACGGTTTAATTTATAACCTATATTTCCTCAATCGACAGTACATAAATTACGCATATGAGGGGGATTATTTGTGAATAAATAAACTGTATTGCACTTTTCTCCCCCTATTTCATATTACGATGGAATTATTGCATTTCAAAGTTATTTCTCATGAATTAATTTTGCTCTTCATGATTTTGATATTTTTCAAAGAGAAAATTCCACACTTTAAAAAAAAAATACACGAGAAGATACTTTATGCAAAATTTGGCGTAAACGGTTTCTTAATTTTGCTTTGAAAATTTCCAGGGTAATCGTTTTCATTACTGGAAAAAATATGAAAAACAGATTTACTACATTGTGTCAACACCCAATATTTCCTTATTCTTTTTGAAACGTGAAATATTACTCTTTCTAAAATAAATTAGAAAATATATTATGTGCAAATAGAATATTCGTTGAAAATGAAATAGACTTCAACTTTTGTATATAACGATGGTTTTAGACGAAATTTCTACCTATAAAAAGAAATGACGTATAATAATTCTCATGAACATTTAAACTGTTCTCAAAATTCTTTTGATGATTGCATGTATAAGTCACAGATTTTTTTTCTCTGCTAACATAAACAAAAGCCAATTTTACAAAGAAAAATTCTCGGTAAAGATATACCTTCTTTGCCTGATAGTCCAATGTAATATTTGTTAAAGTTAAATGATTAAACGCAACCAATGTATCTCGGATTTGATTTTTATATTATAATAACAAAATTATCGAAAAAAGCAGATTTAAAATCTCTGTTATTGTTATGTAAAGCTTTTTATTATTGCTGCAAGTTCATCTCAAAATCTAATTGTATTGAATCTCATTCTAATCATCTAATGGTAATAAATATTATTATTATTATTTCATTAAATTAGTCATTACCATTATTTTATTAATGAAAATATGTTATTAAAAATCGCATTCCAGCCTGCAGACTTACAACTCTAGTTCGTATTTACTATATTTGTTAAATTTGTTCTCGCTTTCTAATTTCTAATACGAAAATACGCTAATAAATGAAGAGTGAAACAAAGTTAAAAAATTCACAAATTATTTACGAGATTGATTAGAAATAGTGAGTGAAATATAAACATTGCATACATTTTGTTCTAAGTATAGTGTGCACTGATATGCATCCAGTACTGCATTTTATTTATGCACTATTTATTTAGAACTTCATTTAAATGAAAGCAAAATTATCATCGAAAAAATTGCAAATCTAGCAACCCCTCTACTAGGACGTAAGCGTCCGACAAACATGTAAATTTTACTTCATCCATGGAGGGGAAGTAATGACTTTTCTCATTAGGAAAATGTCAAAGAGGGGGCAAAACCGTTTCGGATAGCGCCGGTCTGAAGGCTGTATTATGAGAATTTCGGCCCGGTTTTAGAAGGTTAAGTTTGCTTCACTTACAAAAAAAAAAAAAAAAAAGTCATGTAAGTAAGTTTATGAGTCTGACAGAGTCTTGTGACTTATGAAGACTGCAGCTTATCCTTCCAAGAAACCTGTGCTGCATTAGATGAAATTATGCTATAATGATGCACTTATGGATTTGCTTTGTTGAGAAATGGCTGGACTGATTTATGGAAACAATTGCATAAGCTTTAACATCAACAAGAGGAGAGATACATATTATGTACATGGCAGTGAGAGACTGCACAACAATTAGGGTCTATTGCACTACAATCTAAGCCAGCAAATATAATTTGATGCTGTCTGAAGAGGAACTAAATGTAAGGAATCCATTGCTGCAATTATCACTGAATGACCACTACAAGAATTTTCAGCTCAATGGTGCACTGAATGCATATTGATCCATCACCTGAAGTTATGGATAGAGATTTTACTTCCCCACTGTCTAATGTGATCAAAAGCCACTGCTACATCTCTGAAGTTTTGCAGCCTGTTATTTTTTCTTATTTTCAAAACTTATCTATGGCCAAGTTTCAATGACACAGTGTAGAAAGGCATGAAACATGCAATAATGAACAAATCTTCATTGCTCACCAGGTTGCATTCAGGCCTTCATACTTTGCCCATCAAACATATCGATGACCAGCAAGTGATTGGTCCATCATACATCAAATGAAACTGAGAAGCATGTGGAAACAATTTGGACTACAAGCACATATTCAGAATTTCTTTGTTTTAAATGCCAAAGCATGTAGCAGCAATTATCCAGCGGTGGCAGCTACACAAAATACTGATTTCTTCATGTTCCAAAATAGGGCTATAGTTCCCTTTGCTTTCTCAATTAAGCCACCCTTGTTTATACTTTATGTTGTTTATCCAGTAAATGGCTTCAGTATCTCTTGTTCTTTATGGTGCTGCAATCTGGATGATCAGCAGTATATTAAAAAATGTTTCTACAGCATGGAATTTCAAGATTTATTTGTTTATCAAATATTACTCGGTATGATCTTTCATATTTCTTAAAAAGAAACCCCTTAACTTCAGGGTAGGTAATGCTTATTGAAGACTTTTAAAAGTTAAATAATTACAGAAATAAATCTGACACACAAAATAAATAACAGGTTTTAAAAAAAAATTAAATGGAAATGGAAAGTATAAAAAAATTACTTTGTTCATATCAATAGTAGTATTAAATGAAAGCTCTGGGTTCCTCTCAAGAATCAAATAAACGACCATTATTAACTGTAAAAAACAAAAAAGTAACATTAAAAAAAATTCACTAATAATATAGCAATCAGAATCATAAACTGTTTTTAAAATAAATATTGATGAAATGATGAGAGGCTTAAACAAATGAGGGGCAAGATTCATGTTTTCTATAACAAGCTCAAGAAGTACCTATCTGCCTACATTAACTCTCTGGAGAATATTTCATAGTAATGAAACAGGTCATATCAAGAAAATTTAAGATTGCATAACAAATGAGGAGGATTGATCAGCTAGATCAGACAACAGGTATTTGAACCAACCTGTTCTATTCTTGAAATATCCCCAACTCTTAAACATCAAAGGTGCACAATTCATGTTCATGTTTTAAAAGTTTATGACAAGTACATAGGAACTTCCTGAGCGCACTGCAAAGTAAAAATTTAAAATCCACAATGTGTATAGACAGCAGATGCAAAAGATATAAGAGATACATGCAAAATAACAGTAAACTTTTATTTAAGGCAGATTTTAACTAAAAATGGTCAAATTAAAAAACTAAAAATATTTTCTGTTGATTTTAATTTTTATTTAGTGAGAAACAACTTTAAGTTTCTGTGCATATTCCTTGTTTTCATGTCAAACTATCACAGTATGGAACAGGAAAATGGCTTAGTATATATCCAAAATTGAATTTGAAATAATAATGCAATTTAATGGGACTTATGTTATTTGGGTACACTTCTTACAAAAAAGTTCTAATAAGCATTACAGTTCAGAAAGACTAATTTACACTGATTTTAAACAATTCTACTCAACTTCCTTCAAAGGAAGGCCTTATCTTGGAACAGATATGAGCTGTGTGTTAAAACATGTCTCATTTGAAAACATTTCCAGTTTTTACATCAAATTCAAAGGGTTGAAATATCTAGGATGAGTAGCCATATTAAATCACCACAAATTCCAGAAAAATTATGACAAATTGCAATAAAGACTCTATAATAAAAAGCCAGTTCATCTGTGAAAGATCTTGATAATGAAAGGTAATACAGCTTATATTGTTTCAAGTTAAAAAAATGTTACATTTGTAATAAGCTGAAAACATAGTCAGAAAAGTTGTGACATAATAAGTTCTTCATAGTAAGGATGAAGAAGCAAGAATGCTGGAGTTAGAAGCAACCCAAATGAACCCAAGAAAAACCTCTGTATATCAGATACTATCATAAAAATATAGGGTAACATGTTGAAATAACACTATAGAACTTAAAAATGAAATTAATTAAAAAAATATTAAAAATAATTATTAAAAAACAAAACTTCAGAGCAAAGGTTTACAACCTGTTGAAGTTTTCACACTGAGAAGCATAAAAAAGTGCTGCAGGCCAAGCCACCCAACAAAAACATGCAAAATACTGCACACAGATTTTAAAACTTGTTGATTACCAAAATAGGAACTATATTACAACCTGTCTGATGAAACGATATATGTTTTAAATAATTAAAAAAATGGTGAAAATATATGAACTTGATTTCTAAATACCAATATATCTACCTGTGTGGCATGACATGTGGAATTGATTGCTGAAAGTATACTCAAGATGTCATCTGAAACAGAATGCAGATAAGATGAAATTTTCTTTATGGTAATGGAATCTGATGATTAAAACAAAGAACTGGTCAAAAACGTAGATAGTGTTTTAATTTTTCCTAGAAAAAAAGTAGCTGAATGAAATTTTCTTGGGTTTTAATCAATGGGGTGAGTTATTATAAATTTTTCAACTTCCAAACTGCAGCAGTCAGACATGCTTCATATAATTTTAAGGAAGACATTAATATTTTTTTTCCTTCATATTTAGTTTCACTGAAGCATCATAACAACACATCTATTGTAGTGGTTTCACCTACCCCAGTAATTTCAAGCAAACCTGATTCTATGAATGATCTTATTTATTCACTGAAGACACTTATTCTTTCCCAAGAAAGCAACATATGGAATAGAAACCCATTGTATAATGGATTTCTTTCAAAATAGTTAGCAATAGAGTATATTTTAAGAGAAACTCAATAATTTTCAATTTTTTCCCCTCAGAATATAATAGTACAAAAAAGAAAATAAAAACCTTACATTCTAGACGTTAATGCATTTCACATATTAACAGCCAAAAAAATAATTCTTCTAGCATAACAACTCTAAGCCATTTTACAAACAGCAAATAATAGTTCATAATGCCCTGATATAAGCTGGATATCACAGTAATAAATCATGACTATTAAAATAAACATCCTGCTGCAATGCTTATTAGAACAAAAATAAGTTTAATAACCTTTAGTTTAATAAGATATTAAACAGGTTTTGTAGATTCTACACAATTGTTCAATGTTAATACGGAATATACACATTTAAATTAAAAAATTAATGGAAAGATGCATAGCAGTAAAAACATTGCAACAGAGAACAGTTATTACTGCTTGATTTACTAATGTCAAAAATGCACTTAACCATTGAATAATATGAGCTTCACTTATACACATTCTCCCCCACCACCAATAACGGACAGTTGTTTTTATATTTAGAACAATTTAAAGAAACTAACAGCCAAATTACATACTCTACAAAACTAAATAAATTTTTACAATATTAGATGAGTTATAAGTGCATAAAACATATGATATGTGTATTATAATTTATGATTAATTATCAGAGAATAAAATTTAATTTTTTACAAACATATGATGCAGCATGCTCAAAATAATGTCACAGTTCAGCTGATAATAAGATAAGTTCAGGTGATGATAAGATCTACTTAATCATGCTGTGTGAATCTGGTCATCATTGCCTGAATATTCACAAATTCATTAAACTAATTAATAACAGTTTTGAGCTTATTTTTGTTATAACTGCAAACTTTATTAACACAGTGGTATTACTCACAAGAACCATAGAAAAATCATAACATTTCAAGAAAAAGGTGAATTGCTTAATAAGTAATAATGGAATTTTTTTAATATTTCATTTATTATAAAGCTTTACATTTTTTTATGTCTAGTGCCAACAATACATATTTACAAAAATTTAAAAGCTATATGATACTATCAATATAGGTGCTGACATACAGACTAGAGATAGGGAAAACTGCTCTTTTAAGGGATCAGATTGGAACTGTTCGCTCACTGTAGCGAAACAGTTCTTTTTAATGATTCACCACTCAGTAATAATGACCTTGACGAATATGTTCAGAACAAGCATAGATCAAGATGAGAAAAGCAGAAGGAATTGAAAAAGGAGTGGAATAGCTGGAATCATCTCAACCAAACCATTCACTCCCTGGACTGATTTCTTTCAACTGTACTTCTGAGATTCACTAACAAAAAAAAAAAAAAAAAAAAAAAAAACTTTCTTACATTGAACAACAATAAAATTCTGGAATTCAAAAATGCTAAAAGTTAAAAATAATGAAAACTAAACTCATTTTTCTTAAAGATTACATTATTTTATTACTATAATTGATATTTTGTTGCTACTACAAAGCACACAGTAAAAATTGATTTTTAGATTGGAGGCAGATCTCAAAGAAGAGGAAATTATCTGCTGACAATACTGGTTTTTTTCTTTTTTATCTGATTTAAAAAAATGATACCAAATATCACTCAAGGTTCTATCATTTGGTAGGATCCACATTTTGTTCTGTAATCTTGAATAAATATATAAGATGGAAAAATTTATATTTATAAAAATATACTAATTCTAAAGAAGATTAAAGAGAAATTTACAGCTCTTCATTACCAAGACATTAGTAAAATAAATAAAAATACAATTTATTATTTTACATAAATATTACAGTAATACTGCATAAAAAGGTAATATCTAATATACATAGCTATACCTTCACACAGTATTCAAAGAATCAAAATGAAACTCAAAGGAACAGCTTCAAGGAAGCGAAAAGTGCAAATAATCAACACTCCGCAGGAGGCAGATTTGAAAGAGCAAATAAAGAAGACTCTCAGAATCAGATCCAATGATGACTCTGAAGGAGCCAGATCTCTGACTAGGTGTTAAAATGCTGACAGTTGGGAATCCGAGGAATTAGTTCCTATAATCTCAGTACTTTAAACAGATCCTCGCACTGCCAGATAGGAGAGGGGGGGAAAAAAGAAAAAAACTCCATTTGCAAACTGTTCTCAGTTTTGCTGGGACGGGTCAGTTTATTTAATGTTTTGTTTTTTAAATACGAGATGGAACACAAGCAAGCTAAAAGCACTCATATGTACATATGTAACACAGATAAAAAATATGTCAGATACCTTCTAGTAAATAATAAAGGAAAGGTAGTGTTTATATTACTGCTATTCCCTTTTTTTCCGGAGCACTGATCATTCATTCAGTCTAGTGAATCGGTTCCCGAGCGAATCACCCATCTCTAATACAAACAATTAATTTCATAAACAGAGATCTAATGTATGATTTTATTTCACAAAAAAATTTCTATAATCTGAGTACAGAATATTAAGAACATAAATTATGCAAAATATGAGTTAATCTACTGTATTTTTATTTAATTTTATTTTTTTATTAGTGAAGCTTCAAATCAAAACAATAGCCTATTAGTTGTGAAGCTGCTTGGGATACATGCACCTCTAATCCAAATGCACTTCAAGGAACAAGCTATACTTTTTTTTAGTTGTTAAAATCATATTATTTACTGCATAAAATAATAATCTAAAAGATCAAAACAATTACATTTTTGAGATGAAACCATTACAATCTAAAAACTTAAAACTTTCCAGATAGTTCAGCAAGAATTAATTTATGAAAATAATTTACAGAATAAATAATGACAAACTTATCAAAAAAGAGATGAATTTCATTTGTTATTCAAATTTTTAAAAAGTCGGATTGCATTTGAATTTAAAATAAAATACAATAGTTAAAAATAAGAAATTATTACCTCGACAAGGATTTGACGGTACTCAGGAAGGACAACTCTACTTAAAAACATTTCAACTTCTGTAGCAAATTTTAGATCATAAACAGTCATTTCTGTCAATGTTGGTTGCTAGAAACAAAGATGGTCTTTGTTCAAACTTATAATTTTTTTATAGTATTGAATTTAAAAGTGAGGAAATCTGATCACTTTCAATGCAACGTTTATTAAAAAAACTTCTTTACAACAATGGAAACTAAGAAAAGTAAAACTCTTTGTTAAAATTATATCTATAAATAATACTTTATATGAAAACACACATTTAAAATGGGCATTTTTACAATGACTGATTGACGTAAATCCCTTAAATCTGTAACACTTGATTATATGCTTAATTTTTGACATAAAATGAATAAAATAAAATTTTTCTCCTCTGTCTTTCCCCCCCAAAAATATATCATTCCTTAGAATTTACCCAAAAAAGTATTTTTTAAAAATATTTTTCAAAATAACATTATGAAAAAATATGATCTTGCACTTCAGGCATCTTAGGCATTTGTAGTACAATTCCATTCAATGAAATAAAACAGTAAAAAATACAATATTTTGAATAAAATGTAATATCAATTTGGCATTTGGTTCAAATTGTGATAAGGTGGCATAAAGTTTCTTTGTGTAGGGTGAGTGATTTCAGAGTGCAATAGTTTTCATATCAGTGGTGAAATCCTGTGCCTTTGTTAAAGATTCCGGTTGCAACCTCGAAGGTCGCTTCAGTGGACAAAGAGATTTATACGTTAAGTCTTTTCATCAGGGTCAGGAGATGGACACTTTGTTATGTATGAGTGAAAGAATCCCCCCCTCGGAGTTCAGGGCAAGTAAACACAGGGAGATATATAAGATGGTTTCCTGAGAAGAGGGAACAACTTTCCTGTTTAGAGCTATGGGCATGTTGGCCTGCTAAGAATGATTATTTCTCGTGTATAATGCGTTACAGAATTTTTCCTGTAACAAAATTCTAAGGGACTTGATATACCCGAGTCCCATATTGTTAATATATGCAACTGTTAAGGTTTTCATTTTATTAAAATTCATGTTATTGTTAAAACTTGAGTTTGAAGTTCATTTCAATCCTGTGTCACAACCCAGGGTTTGCATAGTGGCTTCAGCCACTACACCACAAAATAAACAGGCTCAGTGTATTTCAATATCAACACCAAAATGGAGCTCAAGGTTGAGTTTTTGTTAATTTTTAAAATGCAAAATTATAAGTATATATACAAATTTACTATAAATTTTATACATGTAAACAAATTTATTACAAATTTTACTATAAATTTGTACAGTAGATACATATAATTTTACTATAAAATTTTTGACCTACTTGTGGTAAATGGTAACCTTCCACAATTATACCTTCAGTGGTTCTTGTCATAATATCCCAAACACGATCATAAAAATTCTTTGGAACTCTGCATAAGGCACCTTCAATCTGTCGTCTTTGATGAATAGACAGCCTAAAAGAAGGAGAGAAAAAGCCCTTAGATGAAAAGAAAAGGAAACTGAATGTTAAATAGAAAAAAAAGCTTGCTTTTGAAATAATTTTTTATTCCTTTAAAAAGGGGGAAAAGCCTATTTGGAAAATAAACATTTTGTCTCTGGTCAAAATTGTAGTAGAAATTAACAATAAAACAAAACGAAATGATGCTACGAATATCCCAAATCACTGGGATTCACTTGTAAATGCAACTAATGCTTTGCATAGAATATGACAGAAAACAAATTCACACGATTCTCCACTTGAATATGACTAGAAAATAAGAAATTAATACTCAAATACACACTCATAATAGTTCAACAAATAAGAAAGTGCCTCATGGGATGTTTGTAGAAATAAATAAATAAATATTACTTTCCTGCATTTTTTATGCTTCATATACAATACACAATACAAAATTTATATCACAGCATTTATTATCCCAATTTTGCACTTAAACTTTTACTTGTGTTAGGGCTTTATGATACTCTAAATTCATACGTTTATATTTTGGAAAAATTTTTTTAAACGTCTATTGTTATGAATTTTATATAATGTAAAATGAACAACTTCAATAAAAACAATACTCTGCCAGAAAAATAAGATTACAGAGGCACGTTTATTTAACATTGAGATAAATAGCTATCTTGCTAAGCTGGTGAGCAATCAGCAAGCTGGCGATGGTTTTGGCAACTAATATTTGTTCCTTATGTTGGAAAATATAACTTATTGTAAACCTTTTACTGCATTATCTCTTCTCCTTAAATGTTTATTAGGCTTAGTTCTTATTTTTAATGTAATATACTAGTTACTTCTACTTCTTTTTCTTGCTGCCACTGTTTGCATTTGGACTGTTTCAACCTAATTGAGATGCAAAAACAAAAGTGATGTTACATCATCTGGAAAGCCGATTCGTGCCGATAGCTGATTGGTTGCCGTGAGATGACGTCATGCCTACTTCTGCTATAAGTATCTCGTGTCGCTCTGGCTCAACCCTCACATTCATTGAGAGGTTAGCGTCGCTGCGCGACGCATGCATCCCGATTTACTCTGTAAGTATTTTTGCTTTCCCTCCTCATAGCGGCCAAAAAACCACCAGATCGATTTTGGAATAGGCATGATAGCAACAGCGATATGGATCACGACTCAGATTATTCCAACTCATCTAAGAATAGCGGGAAAATTAAAATTTAAAGATTTTCTAAAACCCTCCAGCTTGGAAACTAAATCACAGCAGTACAAAAGAATAAAGAAAAGTAGCTCCCCCAGCACTGCGACTCCAAAAACCAAAGAATTTCACGACACCATGGAAAAGTGTAAACATATTTTCCCCAACTTATTTCAAGGACTCGGAACTGAACTAGAAAAAGATCCCAGATTTCAAATACTCAGGAACAGAGCCCTAACAGAAATCTTAAATAAATCCCAAGAACATATGATTGAACAATCAAATTTAATGGACACCGGATCAATGGATGAGAAAATTACGCAGAAAATGTGAAAGAACACGAAGAATTAGTGGACTCCATCAAAGAAGTTTATAACAATTTAATAGTCCCAGAAGCAGATAATAATTCAGAACAAAATTGGTCAATTCCCTCAAAAACATGCAAACCTAATCTAAAACCTAGCGAAAAAGTAGAAATAGAACAAAACAACAGATTCGAACCTTTAAAAGATGAAGAAAATAATGAAACTACTGAAGATAAAACTAATCATAAAACTGAAATAAAAATCCCACCAATAGTCATCACGCAAGTTGAATTAGATTGGATTGATCTACAGAAAATCTTAAGTACTAAAATTCTAAAAAACAAATATGAAACCCAGATGAAAACCAAAAAAGTTTACCTAAATACTTCCACCGAAGAGGATTACAACAGCGCCATCGAATTTCTAAAGAAATCATGCATAGAATTCCATACGTATCAACTTTATTCCAAAATTAACATTAAAGTCATTTTAAAAAATATGCCCAGAAGCATCTCAGAAACTGCAATATTTGAAGACCTAAAATTTAGAAAATTCCCAGTACTAAAAGTTAAACAGTTCACAAAGAAAATAGAAAGTGATATCATAAAATTACCCATATACTTCATTGAACTTGAAAGGAATAAATTAGGAGAAGCGATTTACAACTTAAATAATATTTTTAACTTCAATATCACTATTGAGAAATATGCACCTAAAACTAAAAGACCAATTCAATGCTTCAAGTGTTAAAGGGCTCAAGTGTTATAAATGTGGCCGTCCAGGTCATATTCAAAAATACTGTAGAATGAAAGGTAATTTTTCCAGATCACCCTCACCTGCTTTTGTTTCCTCAGCTGTATCTAGTAGTAATAAAACATCTCCTAAGTGTAAGAATAAACCCAAGTTGAGTAAAGGTAAAAATAATTCCCATGCTCAGTCCCATTTTATAGCTCAAGCTAATGTTAACAATTTGGAGGAAAACGATGATAGTTGGATATTTGATACTGCTGCATCTCATCATTTTTGTAAAAATCGTGAATTGTTTGATACTTTTTCTCCTGTGAAAAATGAGAATATGCTAGTAGCTATTGATGAGGTAACTTTGCCAATTCATGGGAAGGGTACTGTTAAAATGAAATTTGGGGATACGGTTATTTTGCTTAAAGATGTGTTATAATCACCTGAACTGAGACGAAATTTAATATCTGGACCTAGAGTGGATATCAATGGAGCAAGAGTTTATGGTAAAAATGGGCAAATTAAAGTTACTGATGATAAAAATGAAACTTTGTACAAGGCTAAAGTTGATAAGAAGTAACTATCATGTATTCCCGAAAATAGTGAAAAAGGGGGGCAAATCTGTAAAATTTGAGGCATCCAGAGTTCAGCATAACAATAGTGAATTATGGCATGGTCGGTTTGGTCATATAAATTATGGTGCTATTGTCAGGACTAGTAAGAGACATTCAGTTCGAGGTCTTCCTGTGTTAAAGCACTCACCTAATTTGTTTTGTGAACATTGCCAAATCAATAAGCAAAGACGAATCTCCTATAGACCCTTAGAAGGTATTCAAGTAAAAAAGCCGCTTGAAAGGGTTTTTTCTGATGTATGGGGACCTATTAACATTCCAGGTAGGAATAGTGAACGTTACTTCGTTTCCTTTATTGACGAATATTCTCGTTATGTGGTAGTGTGGAACTGTGGAGAAAAGTCAGGTGTTTGAAGTATTTGAAAGGCATATAGCACGTGCGGAAAGATCTTCGAACCTTAGGTTGAAATACTTTAGGACTGACAATGGGCGAGAATATGATAATTATCAATTCAGGTCATATTGTAATAAAAATGGTGTAAAGCATGAATTTACAGATGTATACACTCCAGAACAGAATGGAGTTTGTGAGAAATTTAATCAGACAGCTCTCAACAATGTACGTGCAATCATAGTGGAATGAGTTCCGAATTTTGGTCAGCTGCAGTAATGTATTTTGCATATTCATTTAATAGAATTTGTCATAAGGGCCAAGATAGAACCCCATTCGAATTGTACACTAAGCGGAAACCATCAGTACGTCACCTTAAGGCATTTGGAACGGTTGCCTATGTGGGAATTCCAAAGGCTAAAAGAAATTCTAAGCTTGATTCAAAGGCAACGAAGGGCCGATTGATTGGGTACAGTGTACGAACAAAAGGGTACAAGATTTGGTTGGAAAATGAGCAAAAGGTAGTAGAAACCCTAAATGCTACTTTTAAAGAGTCAATTGGAATGCAGAAAAGTGGCAGTGGAGCTGCACTGAGCACCCTTCCTGATTTGGAATCTGAAGAAAGGGTAGAGTTCTAATCTACTGACACTCCAGTTGGCTATTTTCCTGAAATAGACGAAAGAACAGATACCAATGTACCTTCTTCTACAATTGGCAGTGATACTCAATCTACATTGAGACAAGTAACTTGGCTTCGTAAACCTGTTCCAAGGCCAGACGGCACTCGTACGGATGTGTATTATTTTGAGAGGGGGTCTAATCAAAGACTACGATCACCAAATGATGTAGAAAGGTATTGCACTGAACATAATATTCAGTATGATCCTACCTTGTTTGATTTCAAGGGAAGCAATACTTATAGTGGTGAAATCGACCCAACTGGCACTCCTTCAACGTCATATACCCAAGATAGCTGACTAGAGGTTTCAATTCCAAACACTTATAACCAGGCAATGAAATCCACAGAAAAGCTTAAATGGATAGAGGCAATGGAAGAGGAAATGGCCAACATGCGAAAGCATAAGGTATGGCATCTTGTTCCACTTCCTAAAGACAAGACTCCACTAGGTTGCAGGTGGATTTTCAACATTAAACGTGACGAATTTGGAAACATTGTTCGTTTTAAAGCTCGTTTAGTGGCTCAGGGTTATCGGGAAATTAAATACGATACCTATGATGAAACCTACTCCTCGCCTGTAGTCAACTTTTCAGTAATAAGGACTCTTTTCTTTTTTTCTCCTTTTAGTTGCACACCTTGGATGGGCAAATATACAATGCGACGTAAAAAGTGCCTATCTCTACGCTCCTTTATCAGAGGAAATTTACATGTCCCAACCTCAGGGTTTTGTAGAGCGAGATAAAGAAACTTTTGTGTGTCGTTTAGATAGAGCCTTGTATGGTTTGCATCAGAGTGGGCGATTATGGTACTACGAGTTGGATAGAACACTATGTAACCTAGGGTTTATCAAGTTTGAGTGGTGTAATTGTGTCTATTGTTTTAAAGATTTTGTCATTCTGTTGGTTTATGTTGATGATATAGTTGTGTTTGGGAAAAGTGAAGTTCAGGCCAAAAGGATATTAAAAGTCCTGAGTTCACATTTTGATTTAAAAATTTTAGGTAAAACAAGAAAGCTTTTGGGCGTGGTATTTGAATATGAGAACAATAGTGTTTTAATTCATCAGCAATTATATATAGAAGACATAGTTGATCAATTTAAGCCTTTTAAAATACAAATTACTTCCCTTCTAATAGTTAAAGGTGTGAAAATACTCAAAGTCTCAAAGTCCCAGTACACAAGAAGAAACGACTGAAATGATGAACTATCCTTATAGAAATGTTTTGGGATGTCTCTCGTTTCTTTGCAATCGTACTCGTTCGGATATAGCTTATGCTGTTAATATATTTTCTCAGTTCCAAAGCAATCCTGGTAAGTTTCACTGGGAAGGATTACTTGAACTTTTAGAGTACGTATCCAATACCAGACAGCACAAACTTAAACTGGTATGCAAGGAACTGAAGCTCAATATATATTCAGATTCGGATTTTGCTTCAAGCAGGGATGATATGGTGTCTATTGGTGGACAAATAGCGTTGTTGGGAGAATCACCTGTATCTTGGCGTACATTTAAAGAAAGGGGAGTGAGTTTGTCTACTATGGAGGCTGAATTTATCTCCATGACTGAATCAACAAAAGAATTAGTTTGGTTTAAAAACATCTTGGATGAATGCATTCAGTTTAAGATTGCAAGTAACTATGTTTCGAGGCCAATATTGTTTGCTGATAATATGGCTGCTATATGTTTTACAAAATCACCCATTGAAAACTCAAGGACCAAAACATATAGATGTGAAACTATTTTTCATTCGTGATCTATTGAACAGGGAAATTTTTGATTTAAAATATGTTTCAAGTAAAGATAATCTGGCTGATTCCATGACAAAACCGCTGACTAAGCATAACCTGATAAGATTTTGAGGAACAATTTTCTTATGAAATTTGTTTTTGTGTGTATTTAAATTAAGAGTTTTGTTTATTTGAAACTAATATGTTATAAGTTATATTATGATGGATATTAGGTAAAAGTAAAACTGTATAGTGTAGAATGTTGTATGAGTGACCAGGGCCCTGGGTAAAAGTATTGAGTGTGTGATCATATGTATGTCTTTGTATTGTTTTGGAACATGTTGGACTTTTTGTTATGGTAAATTTTTGAATAATGGGATAAGATGTTCCCAAAGGAAAATTTTTTCTTAAAAATTCCTGAATTGAAGAAATTGTGAGATTTATTTATTCTTGTTTTGAATTTTGTAAAGATACTGGCATTCAGTTTTTATCGTCGTGGCGTGCAATGAATTGGAAGTTGATCTGTCAGCACTGTCGTTATCTTCAGGGCAGATGTTTTTATTTTATTCGGCTTATAATTCCTTACTAAATGTAGTATTTAATCTCGATGTACTCTGTCTTGATATGATTTAAATCAAATTCCTCATCATTATAAATATCACGAATACAAATCAAATAGTTTTCTGGTTGCAATTTTCTAATTTCGGTTATGCGTAAGGTACGCATGCGCGCGTTGAAAGAAATGTTTAATAAAGTAAACAAATAAATATTAAGCTTCTTTTTTTGTAAATTTTGATATCCTTTAGATCATAGTTGCTCATTATTTTATAAATTACGGTTTCATATTTTTAATGTTATAATTTCTGCATGCCATCTTACCAGATTTAAACTGATGATCTATAATCCGGAATAGCCAAAGTTCCGACGAGTCCGGATTAAAGACTTTTGACTGTATAATTTTAACCGTATATGCCCAACTGTAATTTAAAGAAATGGAAGGTATTGGAAATTTTCTCGGCACCCAGCAGAAAATTATATAATACTGGAGAGAACATCAGTTCTCATATTTAGCTTAGACTTGACTTCAGAATATTGAGAGATCTCTACGCGAGCTTCGCTCTTTACATGCACTTTGCACTATGTTGTGTTTAACGTCACTTAAAGCGACAACTACTGATTGTGCTCTGTCACACTGAGAAGAGCTGTATGAATATTTTGGTGGAAAGTTCCAGAAAGTAAAGTGTTTCTTTCGTGAGAATAAATTTTATTGAGCTATCATAGATTTTGTGTGTATTCAATTCATTATAACCCCATATGCACTTAACACTATATTCTGTTTATTTGAAAAGGAACAAAAAATAATATGCATAATTTTTCCCCTTTTGATTGTTCCACAAATTCAAAAAATATATTTATCATAACATTTACAGCACTTACTTAGTATTAGATCCATTTTCTGCTAATGTCAAAACACGATACAAAACTTTTCGGAGTTCACTAGGTGATAAACTTTCCTAAAGGCTTAAAAAAAAAAAATATATATATATATTTATTACAGTTCAGCATTACGCATACTTGAAATTCATTTATATAAAACTGTACAGATCAGGGAAAAAACTAAATTCTGAGATAAGTAAATTATCAAAGTTTTATTACATCACTAAAATCATTTTATTTCTTTTCCGCCTTTTTTAGGTAAAAAAGAATAGATTTCCAAAACCATTCAAACTTTGTGATTAAAACATATAAACAATTTTTATCACTTACAAACATTATTATTCAAAATATTACTATTCAAAAAGTTATAGTTTGAAAAAGAAATTAAAGATAATCAAATTGTACTTACAGGTGGAGAAGGATTCAAGAATTTCATGTGCAGTATCATGGCTTGTAAAACCCAACTACATAAAAAATAAAAATAAATCATCATAATAAAATTAAAATAATTATTTTCTAAGAGTCTGAGTAATAGGAACCAGATAAATCAAAATTAGCTTCATTTTACTAACCTTTCAAATTTCAGAACAAAAAATACACAAGATATCTGCAGAAATCATATGCCATATATGTTGGAAAATAACATTTAATATCTCAATACCTTTTACAACTACTTGAAAAATTTTTAATTCTCTAAATCATATAATGACACATATTTATGCAGATGCTGTCTGACTTCAGCCTTCATAAATTTATCAACTAGCTGAAAATGCTGTTAACATCATGAACACATCTTAGGCTAGCTTATCTTAAATCCGATAGAAAGATTTAAATCAGAATACAACAAAAAATTATTTCATGGAGTGCTTAAATTTTGCTATCAGATATTGATTATCTAGGGTAATTAATTTTGCTTTCTGAAAATAAAAAAATAGATGATTGTATACTAATGGGGAATTTTGTACTCCTAAATGTCAATTTATGAAATTTAAATTTGAGTTTTCATGTCTTAGAAGAATAAATTAATAATATATATTAGATTTACATATAATACTGCTCTAGCATACATTTTTTGGTACAAAATTCGACTTTTACTGAAATGATATGCAATTTCTTGGCCATGGGTTGATTCTATGTCTCGTATTAAGCTGAAATAATAGTTTTGTAAAACCATGCTGAAATATTAGTATAGAAGTCAAACAACAAAAATTAGCATTTATTTGCGAATTTTCACAGCTGATTTCTGCTGTTCGACTTCTAAATTAATATTTGTTTGGTGTGTTATTTTATCCTTATCCTGCTGAACTACTTTTAATTAATTTCTTTTACAGTTTCATAATGATTTTCAGGTTCATGCAAAAAAATAGTTTTACTTGAGAAGCTTCTAATTTATATTAACTGTGGAATTTTTTATTCTTAACCCTTTGACGCGTGCGATATTATTTTTATAATTTTTTTAACTAAAAACTCTAGAAATTGAATATTATGGTACTAGAGACAAATAAGATATGAATTAAAAAAATTCTACTCTTGCCCATTGTTTTGTGGGTGGTGGTCACACTGTGAAACCACCACGCATCTTGAAACTTACCTGGGTAGTAGGAAAAAAAAACTTACCTTTCTCCGTGCGCGTTTCTAATAAATGACAAAATTTACAAATTTAAAAAAATGCTGTAAGAATTGCATAATGTATATATTTTTACATTGTTTACAAACTAAATCATAGAAAAATTAAAAAATAAACATTTATGTAATTTACTATAGCAGTGAAAGTAGTACCTAATAATAAGGACGTTTGGCTACATGGATTAAAAACTCAGTACAATAGGATAAAAAAAAAAAGTGTTCTTTTTAAATTTCAAGGAACAAATATTTTTTGTGACACTGTTTCAAAGCCTGTTTTTTTTTTTTTTGTACAGCATAGCCCACATTGCACGTTCGCACGTCTCTTTTTCTATGATGTTTCTTCCTTGCTACAAAATGTACACTGATTGGATCTAATTTCACTGGTATATGTCAAGCATATTTATTTCTTTTCATCTGGGCACATGAAATTTGTGGTTTTTTTTATGTTAAGGGGGGGGGCTGGTCTTTTTTGGCTTGGTACGGAGTATTCGTTCCCATTCACATACTTATTTTATTTGTATTTCATCTCAAAATATTCAAAAACATTCCCTAATTTAAATAAACTTATGCGATTTCTATTTTAATTACAGCAAAGTATATTTACATTAAATTTAAACCACAGGAAATAATTTATAAAGTCACAATACTAGCTTGGGAGCAAGTGTGTGAGGTAGCAAATCTCTGGAAAAGAAAGACCTTTTTACTGGGCAGGTGCATGCATTGTTTAGTAATAAAATAACTCTGTGATTTCTAAACCCCTTATATATATTCGGGTAAAAATAAACATTCCTATTTGAGAAGCAAGCAAATGCGATTGTGAAGAGCAGTGATTTCAAGGCACGAACACCAAGCCTCTAGAGCATTGTGGTGGGGCAGTGGTCGCACCCTGAAACCCCAAAGCAAATGCCACACATACAGAGGGTTTTTGAACATATGAAGTTTAATTATTGCTATTTTTTATTGTTTATGATAGAAATCATGATGCGCGATGAATAACTTTTCAAATTTAAAGTTGTTTACATTAATAAAAGGAAGTTATTTTGTCTCATTGAAAATGAATTTTAAAAGGCGTGCGATTTGAAGTACTAAGAGCTAAAACAGCATGATTCTGTAGTCATTTTTTGTTATTTAGATGTAAAAGATCAGTAATCAATTGATTTTCACTCAAAAATTTTTTCTCCTCACAAGGAAGAGGAGAAAAAAATTCAAAAATTGGTGGTTTCAAGGCACGACCACCGCGCGTCAAAGGGTTAAATGAATAAGTTTGTATTAAACAAATATGCAAAGAAGCACAGATTTGATTAGAGTTATCAGAATTTTAGTTTTGTTATTAGCTCTTTACTCAGAATAATCTTATTATTTTGGAAAAGTATTAATGTCTCAATTTTTTGGCGTATAAGCTTGAGTATAATTCTAAAATTTGTGTTATTAAAATGCGATTGCGAACCACTCAGGCACTTGCTTGATGTTTTCGTAAATTTATCTAGATTATTACACCAAGAAATATTTAAACTTTAATTACCTTCAATTAAAAATATTATTATAGGAATCTTCTCAAACTAAAACTAGCATAGAGAAGTTAATCTACACCTTTTGAAAATACTTAGGATGCATTTAATTATTAGAGATAAAGTAAAAGCTGGATTATCTGGAAAGTATGATAAATGAATATTTAAAAAAGGCATTTATTGGCCCAAATGAAGACAAGGGGAATTTTCAGTAAAAAAAAAAAAAAAAAAAGAAGTAAGTTTTGTTATCAACATGACTGTCAAAAGCCTATACTTAAAATTACATAAGATTTCAAAGAAGTAAATTTATTTCTAAAATATTTTCAATAGCCTGCTGACATATTTTCATATGCCTTACACAAGAAAATAAAACAGGTTAGCAGATTATAAACTTTTTTTTATGAAAATATGAGAAATTTGCTTAAAACACATTTAAGAGAATTCAAAATATTATCATTTTTATACTTTTTTTAAAAATAAATAGAATACTTAAACCTTTACTATATTAAGATAGCTTTAATGCAGTCAACATTTGACTAATAGACTACAAATATTTGAGCTTTTTTTTATTAGTAATGAATTTTAGTTTTTTCATAAATCTCTCTCTAATGAGATCCAATTTCAAAACTTCTTGCTCAGTATATGCAAAGCTTTTCTAGTAAAACTGCAAGGAAAAAAAATGTTCTCCTTATTTTTACCCCAACAATTTTTTTTAAAACTTAATTCATATGCAGATTCTGATGAATCATAATTTTTCCCCCTTGAAACAATGCCCTTTTAATTAATTTTTTTCTTTTTCTTGAAACAATGCACTTTTAATTTAACTTATTAATTATAAAGGGAGTAGGAAAAGATTTTAAAACAACTTATTTTACTTTTAAATCGAAAACTATAGAAAGAGAAGTTCATTTGGAAGGGGGAATCATGTAATTTTAAAATTAATTTTACATGAAAATAAGTGAGTTAAACAAAATAACTCCATATGAATACATCTTTCATATATAATGAAGGTACATACCCAATTCTAATTTTCAATATTCCATGGAAAAGTTGAGGAGTAGTTGAAATGAGGCGACCAACATAAAGTATAATTTCTTGCTGTAATACTGCTTGATATATATCATGGTGCTGGCATTTTGAATATATTATTACCTCAACTTCCTTAGGTGTTAAGGGTTTATCAATTACAACTTCTTCATGTCCAAAAACACCAACAGTTATCTGAAGAAAATCAGAAACCAACAGTTATCTGAATCAAGACAAATATTATAAAAATAGAGGATGAGTGTAAAAAATCTCTCTAATCTAATTATTCCTAATGTTATTAATTTTCCTATTTCAGACAAAACTTCTTCAACTAATTAAAACCTTAAAGTCTGACAGTAACTACAATTTTATAATACATAGTAAAGAATGCATGTAACAGGACATCTACTTTAAAAAAAAAAAAAAAAAAAGTTCAATATTAATTAGTATAAACCTAATATACTAGATATCTTTTAAAGAAATCTATCCAAGAATTTTATTGCAAATAATGCAAAGCATAATTAAGTCACATTGTTAGGTACGAACAATTAAATTATTTGATATATAAAAACGTGTATACTCAATTACACAGAAATAAGCAGTATATATAAAAGGAATACAATTACAGTATAAATTTAAAGTCTAAAGAAATACAGAAGAGAATTTCAAAGATTTCTTTTTAGGAGATGAAATATTTCACACTGTTCTCCTTTATGTAAAATATAATGCGTTTAAATATGATATATGAAGAATTTGAAGCTTAGAAAATATAATTTAAGCAATATTAAATGTTGCAATGAAAAAATATATCTCACCTGTTTCCCACATACTAAAATTGAAGTTATATTTGGACTAATACTGTCTACTAATTTTCTCAACACACTGGAGCAATATCTAACAACAGACCTAAAAATAAACTACGTAAATTGAACCAGAAGAAAGAAGAAATAATTCTTAAAATATTTGAAACAACGTTAAATATCAAGCAAACAACTAAACAATGGAAACTTACCAGTGGCGCAAAGCTCCGGCTTGTCTAGTTAATTTCTCCAATCTTTCTTTCACTGTACCTTTAAATTAACAGGAGAAGATAAAAGTTTTATAACAGTAAAATATTTTTAGAAAAGTAAGAGTCAAAATATGAAAATTATTAGTTTATTAAACAGGGTTCATAGCCACATTTTAGTTAAAAAAATAAGCACCTATAAGCACTTTTCAAGCACATTTTAAGAAAAAAATAAACACCTATCTCATTACATTATACACAACTGCATAACCTTAAGAGAAAAATTAGACTTGCAATTTAAAATATGAGAAAGGCAATATTTATTAAGAGAATGAGCATTACCTCAACCATGGAAAACTAACTTTTTTTTTTTTTTTTTTTTTTAATTTTAAATGACAGTTCAATTTACAGAAAAAGTTTACAATGAGAGGAAAAAAAAAAAAAAAACTATGCAGAACTAAACTATATTACAAGATTTAATGATGAAATTTCAGTTCAAAATATAGAAAATAAATAATAATAAGCCATATTAATTGTATTCGCTTGGCACCTAATAATAAATACAATTATTTTTCCACTCATATTAATATTTAAATAATTTAACTTAAATCAAAATTCTGAACATTTTCTAATTTTCATTGCATAACAGTTTTCCTTAACATATTTCCAAGCAAAGTAATTTAAGTAAAAAAGAGAACATTCTGAAATCAGAAGACGAAATTGCTTCATGCAGTCATCCTATGTAACAGTAAAAGCTTAACTAACCCGCATACTCGGAAATTGACCGAATATCTGAAAATTCCGGTACAGTCGAGCGTAGACTGGAAAAAGGAGGAGGGGGTGTAGATTGTAGTCATTCTTTAGATTTTCTTAGCTAAATAATGCTTTTGACATTTTCGATATCTGCATCATATAAAAATACCCCAACGGAACTGCAAAATATTCCTGCTTAGACAAGCACAGTAAAACTCTTTTAGTCTCTGCAAATATCGCAATCCTTTTTGTTAATGAAATTGTGATTGAATTGCTATTGTGCAATAGGTGCGCCTTAATTCTTCCTCACGTGATATTACGCAATCGGAATCAACAGCTGCGGTATTCAGAGTATAAATAACTAAATAAAGGAAAACGCTCCTTTGCTTCCTCCAGTTTTCACCATCATGCGCCCATTTATCATTGAGCAGGACACATTGCACGATATCCCTGCTATACTCATATTGATTGATTAAGGTTACCAATCTGGGATGTTTTTCATTCTAATATTGAACAGACTGTGTTAAATTTCTGGAATAGGAATCATTCTTCGCTTGGGTTGGGTAGACCGTAAAACTTTTAGTCCTATTTCAATCCAGATTGGAAAGTGAAACAAAAAAAAAAAAAAGTCCTTTACTTTGCTGTGAACTGTAACGCTTATTAACATTCGAGATTTTGCGGAGAAAAGGGGAGAACCCCTCTCCCAACTTCCGTACTGTAAAATGCATTGGCAAAAAAAAGAAATTTTCTGACTATTCGATTACTTTCCTTTTATTTAAGCCATTCCGAATATTATTCCTTAGAAAGCTAATTTGTGTAAAAATATACCCATTTTTGGAAGTTTATCTACACTTCAGCAGCTACTGCAACTATATTATTATAAATCTTCATACAGCTCATAATATAAGCATAACGATCATAATAAACACGATATGAACTGACCACGCAGAACGAGAATGTAAATTAATAAAATCTTGATAGAAATTCAAACGTGTGTAGTGTTTGGGTGGGAGGAAAAAGAATACCGAATGTACCGGAATTTTCTACGGTTTTCACAATTCTTTGTCCAATAGAACGACGTGCACCTATCTGTACTCTCGTGCGCACCATAGGTTACGTTAATGCAGAGAAAGGGGGAAAAGCTATTTCCAGGAATATGATTCACGATCTGACGTTCCATATAAGGAAGAAAATTTGTATATTTAGTTTCGACTTTGGTACGGGGGGAAAAATGCGCGTTCATTAAAAAGCACTAAAAGCAAAAAATAGCACTAAAAACAACAACAACAACAAATATAATAATAATAATAATAATAATAATAATAAATAAATAAATAAATAAAATAAATAAATAAAATAAGGGCTTTAAAGAAAAAGTAAGCACCTATAAGGGCCTTTATATTTTATTTTCAATATAAGGACTTATAAGAACTTGTAAGGACCACTACGAACCCTTTTAAATATTAGTTACCATTCAATTAAACAAAAAAGGGGATATGAGTAATTTACTAAAATTGGATATTACATGAAGGGACTTTAAAAGGGTTCAACTAGAACAATAACTTAGAATTTAAAAAAAAAAAAAAAAAAAAAACCATAAAAGCTTGAAAGAATTGCGGAATCAAAAGAGCTCTTCTCCTGTCTGCTTGTAATATTTGAAACAGCATAAAATTAAATTACACGTTGCTTATAATATAAAATATATATGTATAAATACAGTAGAAGTCCAGAAATCCGCAAAGCTTGGGACCAGAGGTTGTGTGGATTTTAGGATTTTGCGGATTTCAGGACAGAAAAGATAACGCATAATATTCAGACTAAAAGTGCTAAATAAATAAAGCATATTAGATACATTTAATTAAATTATTATATACATTATTGCAATAACTTATTATATGCATTAAATTATTATTACATATATAAATTGATTATATTACTTATGGTATTATATGTACACAGCATTGAGGTTTGCCGATTTCGCCTCATGCAAAGATTTACGGTTTCGGATTCCAGTGTTAGAATCACTGTTGCTGTAAAATTTCAACAGCTTTTTCTTTAGTTTTCCGTATATCATACACAATCGTGTCGCAATTCCATACCATTCTGCTATAAATCGAGGAGTAACACCTGCCTCCATCTTTTGCAGAATTTGCACTTTTTGTGTTACCGTCAATGCAACGTGTTTACGATTTTCAACGTTGCAAGCAGTAAAATCATGAGTGTGTTTCTTATCTGTAATTGTATTAAAAAGGGCTGAAATTTAAAATATTCTTAATTTATCCACAAAATATCCGGATAAAAAAAAAAGGCAGCACTAAATAATCTTGTGAAATAACAAAGCTCAGAAAATACAACAACATGAATCGTGAACTTGAAAAAAGAGTGAATCATCTGCTTTCTTACCTCGATGCAGATTAGAGGGGAAAAGACTTTTATCATGATGTCAATAATTTGGTGTTTCTGTTATGACTCATTATTATTCGATAATTATGACGTCATTATTCAGTAAGCATTTTTTCTTCAACATTTCATACTCAATGTGGCGGTTTCCGAAAACCTATAAACTGAATGTTTATATTTTTGAGAGGCAACGTGGATTTCAGGTCGGCGGATATTCGGTATTTGACTAAAAAAATTTAATTTTTCCACATATTTTACTGCAAAAATTATTAAAAGCAATGCTCACCACAAAGCAGAAAAAATACTCCCTGTCCCATAATAATAGTAGCAAGTGAATATTTAAACGGAAATTATTGGCGAATGAAGTTGTAAGTTACATTGTAGTGCAAAATTGTGAAGCCTTCAATCAAAATCAATGTTTCAAAGTTAGATTAAAAAAAAATAAGAGTTTTCAAGCAAAAATCGAGTTGCAATAGTCCAGTTCTTGATGAATGAAAAGAAAAATGAAAAGTTGCAGAAAGGTGCAATTATGTTAGCTGCAAAATAACTTAAATGCAACAGAACGGCCACATCAAGAACTCGGAGAGTGCTTCCGAAAATAATTGCCAAGCCAAATCTTATGTCAATGTTGATTCTTTTGGGGAAAAAAAAAAAAAAAAAAAAAAACTGTGGGTGTAAATGCAAAGATTAATGGGGAAAAACTCAAGACATGTTCCTCATTGCAGAAGAAGCAGTAAACATAGTCTTTGATAATTTTCTCCGGAAATACTGGATAATACGTTTCTGTCACTTCAACAAGTGCTTGGAGAATGAAGAATGAGGGCTCCAATAATTTTACGCTCACACATAGAGGAAAAGCAAAGCATCATCACCAAGGATTCTACCTATGAATTTAAAATGTAATAATGAAATTATTAAAAAATCCAGAAACCATTTGAACACTCAAAATAAAAATTGATAGTAACATTTTAACTTTCCTTGGTTTCATCTCGTTTATATATATATATATATATATATATATATATATATAAATGTTTATTTTCTTTTGCTTCTACTATTATGGTACAAATTAAATTCATCAACTGCTACTATTATTATAGGAAGAGGGAGTAACATCCCCCCTCCAAAAGAAAAGAACTACATAAAATTAGGCAAAGCAACAACCTTAGTTTTAGCACAGATTTTAGCCAGGACCATTAATTTCGAGTGCAAACAGGTACAGGCTTCTTGACCAGAGCAAAGATATCTGCCACAGATTTCTTTGCTCATGATGAAGAGGGACCTATATCTGCTTGTCCTTGAAATCGATAGAGTCTTGACGAAACTCTATGCCAAAAAAAGTTATTGCTTTGCCTAATTTTATGTTTTACTTTAGCATGTTTTTCTTCTCTCTAGAAAAGAAATATTATAATACTTTGATATGGTAAAGGAAATAATTTATTATTAGTACTTTTAGCTCATTGAGCATTTACATATCTGCAGAAAAAGCTGGGTTACAAGCTGGGTCCTATTCAAGGAAATTTCTATTTTATTAAATAAAAATATAACTAATATTCCAGTTCCATTTACTCATTTAGAAGAACTATATTTCTTTGTTTTGTAAGCAAATGATTCCATTATAATAAATTCCTTAAGAAATTTTTTGAATATTTAAAATATCCATGGTTGGTCAGTATTTAATTCCAGCTAGAGCATGAAAGAGCACAGTTTCTTTGCTTCCTTTTTAAAAAGAAACAGTAACTCCGCTTAAGTGTGTAGCAGCCTTCACTCAAAAATTCAGCAACACTTTGTTTTATATTTAAATAAATAGCTTTTTCTTGACAATACTGCATAAGTATATGTGGCGTTCCGACAGATACTTCAACTTCTATTCATGAGATGGGGCCACGTGAAAAATCCAGTTCTTAATCG